TGTCTCAATGATGAAAATAGTGGAAATTGAAAAAGATGCAAACAGAGGAATAAATAGGAAAAAGTGTAGAAGATAAGAGAGGGAGATAAACAGTGAAATTGATAAGGATAAAGAAGGGAAAATATATAGGGAGAAGGAAAAAAAAGAATGCTGTGTAAAAAACAGAGAGAGACTAGGAAGTACCGAAAAGCGAACATTATGAAGAAGACGTATGAAGAAAAGAGGAAGAAAGCAAGTTCAAAAGGATCAGGGCAAATGACGCATAAATAGTCTCCACAGCAAAATTCTTGTAGACTATGGACCTTAAAATAAAAGAAAGGATGTCAGATAAAGCATCAATTTTCTTACACTTCATACTTTGGCTTTCCCTTGATCAATCATTGATCTATATTTGATTTTTTCCGTCGATACTAATGCATTCTTTAGCCGGCACCTTCGATCGGCTTGTTCCGGTGATGAGCTCCGCGACAGCGTAATAAGCATGATTCTAGTGGAAGTTTTTTTCTTTGTTTTGTTTTTTTAATAATCTTATAGATATAGAGTCGAACTAAAACTTATAGCATAGCTAATTCTATCATGATACAATTCATCAAACAAATTGATTAATTTTGTTCTCACTCTCTCTCTCTCTCTCTCTCTCTCACACACACACACACTATATATATATATATATATATATATATATATATATATCTTCTGCTACATATCATATCCCTTCAGGATGTCGGCGATCATGGTTCTCCACAGCTTCTTGTTTTTTGTAGTTCTCAGCAATACTTCCTCTTTTAAGATTGCTCTCTGTGCTTTCCTCTTTGTGCTCAAACTTGTCAAGTAGGTTACGTCCTGCTTTTCTCTACTTCTCTTGCCTTCTGTGTACTTTGTGTTAAATTCTCCTTGCTTTCTTACCCCGTTATTTGCTATAGAAACTTCAGTTGTCTCTATGTTTGATATCAACTCTTTCTTTGCAATTCATACTCTTATAACTTCCTTGGTTCTCACATGCTCTGTCAATGGTATTATCAATGGCAATATCAATGGTAATGCCAATGGTAATATCAATGGTAATGTCAATGGTAATGTCAATAGTATTATCAATGGTATTATCAATGGTATTGTCAATGGTACTATCAAAATTATTCGCTAGAACTACATCTAGATTACCTCAATTATTTTTTTCATTTGTGAAGACATTGTCCAATTTTCATTTCACCATAGACCTATATTCAGCTAAGGTTAGTAAATATTTATGCATGAATATATGTAACGCTAAAAGATGCATGCTTGTTAAGTAATCAATATTTATTAATATAGAAGAATTTTGCAAACATGTAAAAGTCAATAGAGATGATGTTGTAGATATTTCAGTGTATTTAAATGCCTTGTTATTCGGACCAGTATGTTCAACTTGGTTGTTATACTCACACAGTTTCGGCTGTTGTGCCATCTTCTTCAGTCGAAGAGACAATCAAGCAACACAAAGGGGAATTAGACTGTTGAATGCTAACTGATACGAAATATTCCCTAACAATTGGAAATGGAATCGGAAGAATCAACAGCCATCTTCAGATATCTTGGTAACCTTCTAGAAAGTTTGAAATAAACCCTTTATCCACTAGAGATACATGACCTATGGAGGCACGATAGAGCAATGGATAGCGGCACGGATTTGAGGAATCGGAGAACCGAGTTCGAATTCCAGTCGAGTTCTTTACATGATAATATCCTTGGGAAAGCTACGTAACCATTTCTTCTCCCCTAAACTATGAGTAAATGGCAAGACAGATTGGGTCCTATAGCCTTGGATGGTGGTCGGTCTAGGAGGACAACTCTGAATTAAAAAAAAGAAAAACGAGGTCCTAGTGAACTGGCCTAGGGTAACCCACATCATATTCCGTAGATTTCAACTGTCGACTAAGAGTCGTGACTTGAGTTTCTCCATCTTTTCTATAATTGCAGTTATTCCCCCCCCCCTCGGTATGTCAAACACATGAAATTAAGCGTATTACTAGATTTCATTGTATTACTGTGGAAATAGGTAGATATAACAACTGTAAGTTCTATTCTAATAGTTACTTTTATTGGACTTATTACTTATGGATCTATCTTCCGATTTCTTGATTCCCTGCCACCTACGATGTTCAAAAATGTAAATGCAATGCCAACCCCCTTCTTCTTTCATCCTGAATTCCGTTCTCCTCATGAACGTCAACTCGTTCTCTTTCAGTCCCAGTAACATCTTGCTTCTTATTGCATCATTGCCTTGCTTGGGGAGAAATCTTCTTTTCTTTTTTTCAAAAATCTATGCTTGGAAGGAAACGCCCGTCAGTATCAGAAAGAGCGATAACAGCGAACGTGATAAGTCTAATATCCTGAAAAACTGTTTTCAGAAAAGGATTTTATAGATTTCAACCGACGGGAACGCTGATTGTTCGGTCATTGAAAACCAATTGTCCTCTTCTTCTATGTACCCGGCGGGTACCTTCAGAATTTCCAGTCCTTTGCAGAAAGAAAGTACACCCTTGTGCAAATTTATTGAAACAAAACGAATAATTCCGTTATTATTTACTTTTTTCGTATTTTTCCAATGAAACATGACCCAGTGCACATGTTAGGACGTCGTATGCCAATTCCACGAAGTCGTTACCTGCAGATTCTTGATTGGATTTAAATTAGGAGACTTTCCAGTCCAGTCTATAGTACTATGATTTGCTCACTCGTAAGGCTTGCCATTGTGTTTGTGCAGCGTTACATTTTTCATACACTTCATTGGATTAACGTCCATCGCAGACAATGGCCGTAGGATAACTAATCGACAGTCGGAACAATAGTGTCTGGGCGTGATGAAAATATGATGTAATCACGGATGACGCAATATTTTTCATAGCCAAACAATTTTCATCATACACCCTTAAACTAGATTCACTGCAAATAACTTAATCTAAGGAAAAAATAGAAATCGATAACACCCTGTCACTCCGGTGGGTGTAAAACTGACCGTATGATGAAAGAAAGGAAACCAAAGCGGTTGTTTCAATTCATTTGCACAAGAGTGTAAGTCTTATCTGTTCACTGTCTCTCCTAATCCCTGTTCTGCTAACTATTTACAGAAGCATGTTATGCATTGTTCCTCTGTCCCGCTTGCCTTCAGTATATCCTGTGTCAAATTCTCCAAGCAATCTTTCCTCAATATGCGCCCGAGAAATTTCAGCTATTTCTGATTCGATGTATAAGTGTCATTTTTGTTTCCATTTTATCTAAAACTTCGTTGTTGCTCACGTGTTCAGTACATGGTATTCTCAGCATCCTTCTGTAGATCCATAATTCTGTTGCCCCGTATCTTCTCCATCTGTGAGGAGATTGTCCAGCATTCACCGGCATATAGGAGGACCTAAAGTTAAGTATCCTTTCCTTTGTAAATAACAAATTTTTGTTGTTTCTTAATACATTGCATAGCTTTTGGAATGAATCTTTCCCTATTCCAGTCCATCTTCGGATTTCTGTGTCACAATTCTATGCTCTCTTCAAACACTTTCTAAATAATTAAATTTTTTGTTCATGCTTGATTTTAGTCTTTTCAATTCGTAGTCCGTGTCTTGTGCTGTATATTTTGCAGGCAGCCATACATTCTGGTTTGGTTTGCTTTGTTTTGTTTTACGGTATATCAACCCCAATGGTTTATTTAATGACGACAAGATTTTTATTTCTAGTCATATTTTTTTCAAAAACTATTTCTGACATTTTTTTCTTCAAAAATTCATTTCCGGTAATGTTGTTTTACAAAAATATATTGCTGGTACTAAAACCTATCTTTACACTTTTATAGTGTTTTGACCCCAGTTTCGGTGTTAACTATTTATCCATAGCTGGGACCCTAACAAACGTTACCACCCCGATCATGGTGCACCTGGGAATTAAGAGGTGATTTTACGCACCTCAAAACCTTGTGATCAGATACCTTGCTGTCGGACGTAGTTTATCGTCTTACCCCGGATGACATACATTCTGTCTTCTTACAATTTATGTTTAGTTCCACCATATCACAATAACAAAAATTTCAATGTTTATTTACAGTTCTCGTTTAGAAATAAAAATGGCATTCGCTGCTGATATTTTACTGTGGATACATTCAAAATGAGAAACTAAATAATGTCTGCATTATTAAAAAAATGTTTTATTCTAAAATTCCCCCTTTACCCAAATCAGTTATTAATCTTTACTTTTTCTTTGGCGATCTCATCAACCTAAAACTTCAAGTGTGCCTCAGTACATTGTTCTATATTTTGTGTGCAAGACAACAGAAAATATAAGGCGTCCTTTTTACTCTGTGGCATCCATTTAACGAGTCACTGAACATCAATATATCAGTTCTCTCTTCAGAAACAATCGGAAGGACGCGGGAGGGGGTGGATCCTGTGTTCCTATCACGTTCAAATGAGCAAAAACCGCGAAACGTAGATGCTTTTATCACCAACAAAATTGATAACATTTGAGAAGAGATAAATGTCAGTAAAACAGGCAATCTATCAAGCATGGATGATGGATGTCAGTGTCCTCAATTGATGCTACTTGCGCCTTATCGCTCAGTGGTAAACTTTTGCTACTAAAGACCCCTCTCTCTCTCTTTCTCTCTCTCTCTCTCTCTCTCTATCTATCTATCTATCTGTCTATCTATCTATCTATCTTACTCTTCAGGACGTTGGCGGTCATGGCCCATCACAGCTTCTTGTCATGTCATTTCTAATAATGCATTCTCCTTTTCGACCCTACAAACACCGGTTCTCATACAACACCGAAGTTAAGCATGATCAATACCTAGACAAGTGGCCGCTTAGGAATATTAGATGCTATAGACTTGGATATGCGTGTGGTCTCTCTCTCTCTCTCTCTCTCTCTCTCTCTCTCTCTCTCTCTCATACTGTTCAGGACGTCAGCGGCCATGGCTCACCACAGCTTCTTATCATGTTATTTCTAATAATGCATTCTTCTTTTCGACCCTACATCAAACACTGGTTCTCGTACGACCACCAAAGTTAAGCAACGTTGCGCTTGATCAATACCTAGACGGGTGACCGCTTGTGAATATCAGGTGCTGTAGACTTGGATGTGCGGTTGGTGTAATGGATCATATGTTCATTTAACGATGGATCTTATGTACGAGTACCACTTGAGGTTTGGACTGAGTTTAAATCTCAATAGGGGCTCAGTGCACGTGGCGTCCCTGAGGGAACATTACGATTGGTGCAAGTTTTGGGTCCTAGCGGCGATAGTGGAAAGTTATTAGTTTGGTCATTGAGGTACTGAATGTAACCAGCCAGTTGTCCCCTATTGAGCTGCTAGAGCTAGGTCAGAAAAGAGATCAGCCGCCAAGCTTTGGCCATGATCGGTTTGACCCCTAAAGGGAGGATTACTTCTTCTGTTAGCCTAAAACGTTGGACTTTCAGGCTTTCTTTTCATTTTTGACTTCCAGATGCTATTCTTTCGATAGGACTATCTATATCAGTTCAATTCTAACATGTATGCCTTTTTGTTTTTGTGTCATCTTCTTAATCTAGACCATTGTAGATAGCATGCACAGATTAGAAAAAAAATGAAAAGTCATCATTCTTAGTTTATAAAGTTGAATTATAAGTAGTTTCCGTTATTGGAAACTAATTGTAATGCCGAATGTATCATCGTAACTACTAATTATTCATGACAGTTAAAAATAAATTTGGAGCATACAAGGTTCAACGGAAAAGGAAGTGGCTCTGCACGACCGACCCATTAGCTAAGTTCCAAGAAAGAAAGGTAATGTCGTGTGTATAGTAGAATCGTCGGGGTAACATTCATTTATAATTTCTTAAAATGCAGTGAAACACTAAATGCACATTTAAAAGCCCAGAAAATGTTTATGATTATTTTTCTGGTTTCTCTGCTTTTTGTTTGTTATATTTATTTAGGATTATGAGACGTCATCCTTGTAGAGGCCTGTATCATTTTTATCGATTATTTACATAGTTCATGCAGTAAATGAATACCTGTAAGTTCGCAGAAAATTGAACCATCAAAACTTCCCATTGTAATGTCAACTATTTACTCTTTCCTTAGCCACGTGTCTTCGTTATCGAGTAATAGTGATTATCGGGACTGCTGTGTCTTGATATAAGGAGGTGGCCTTATCTAGCATGGGTTCTGTTATAGAAGGGTAGAATGTGTTATGTCTAGTTGTGTTCATTCGCAATTATGTTTGTAGTCTGCAGTTGTTTTTTCTTGTTTGTTTTTCCACTGATTCACTGATTAACTCCTAACTTCTTCCTTAGTTCTGAATTAATTTTTCTAGTATTATTTTACTTATTATACCTAGGTAAGTTTTGGTTGGGTTTATGAGTCTACATGTTGGTTTTGTTTTGAAATTTTATTTGTTGTCTTTTAGTATAATGAATGCTTGTGATTCAGCAATGCAATTTATTCAGTTGTCGCTCTCTCTCTCTCTCTCTCTCTGACTTTCCATATCTCTCTCTCTCTCTCTCTCTCTCTCTCTCTCTCTCTCTCTCTCTCTCTCCCTATATATATATATATATATATATATATAATTGGTGGATTTATTTTTAATCCGATATTTATTTCATTACTTCAAACGAGGTATCCACTGTTATAACATTTGAACTAATATATATATATATATATATATGTGTGTGTCTGTGTTTTTAAAATATTTTACATATATAAGAATGAAAATGATGCATTTTCAACAGATCAACAAAATATCTTTAAAGTGATATTATTATAATTACCGTAAGATTTCTATAGTCTTCTGTATCTGTTTCAGTAATACTAGTAGCGTAGCTGGCCACTGGTATTCATGGATACCCGTCTACTAGAGTGGCTAGCCAATCTCTGCTGCAGACGCTTGCTCAGGCGCATTTGTGTTTAGTCAACACTCAAGCCCACCTGTGCTTTATACTGCAACTATACTGAGCCGACCTTAATTACAGATTCTGGGAAAGAGCGTGTTATCTAGCGTGATCAACCATTTGATCAAGCCGTCGACCAGGATTACTTGTGACTTCATGCTAGTTCAGCTATCGACGGCCCTCAAGGATTCCGTCTACCAAATTTTAATCACAAGTCTGGGGTCAACCCGTGGTATGGTGTTTCAGGCACTTTCCAAAGGTGACACATGCTGAGATCAACACCTCCAGTCCGATAATAACAATAATGTCAATATTTGATTTTATTTATTTGTTTATTTATTTTATTAAATGGTAATGGTTAAATTAGTCGTTTCCTTATAAGAAAATATTTGGCATTCATTAACCGAGCAGCCAGTGATACTTTTGGTTGAAAATTATAAAAATCTTTCTATTAAAACAGTTTTACAGGATAATACGTTTTCTATCTCCACTAGCTGTTATACCTCTTTCAATTAGTGACGTTGAGGGGATACCTTATTAACATTTCTTTAAAATAATATTGAACGTCAACATCTCGATCATGTCATTATTTTATCTTCGAGTTACATTGGATATCCATTTTACTTGTTGTCGTTGAAATACCTCAAGTGATGGGATTGCTGCTATTTGGTTCAGTTCTTTGTTTTGATTCTGTAGCGACAGTCCCCGAGGTTTGAAGAAGGGCTGCTGTTGAAAGTCCTCAAGTGATGTGATTGCTATCATTTGATACAGTGCTTTGCTTGTGATTATGTAGCAGCAGACGACGAGGTTTGAAGACGGGCTGCTATTGAAAGCCCTCGAGTGATGTGATTGCAGTTATTTGGTACTGTTCTTTGTTTGTGATTCTGCTGCACCAGACACCGAGGTCTGAAGAAAGGCTATTGTTGAAACAACAAGTGATGCGATTTCTGTTATTTCGTACAGTTCTTTGTTTGTGATTCTGTAGCGCCAATCCACCAGGTTCAAAGTGTGATCCTTGCTAAGACCTACGGAATCCATTTTTAATTATTGATTTGAAAAAGAAGTTGTATACAGCTGGCACTCTAGATATTTCTAAATAAGTTTGGTGTCATTATTGACATCAATATGAAGGTCTTAATTTGGCGAAGTTATTTAAGATCTGTACTTGATTACTATCCATTATTCCACCGTGGAGTCACGGATAGCGGCTCGGATTGAGAAATCGGAGAGCCGAGTTCGGATTCCAGTCGAATCCATTACATTCACTTACGTGCTAATACCCTTGAGAAAGGTATGAACCCACTTCTCACGAGCTATGGGTTAATAGCAGGTCAAACTGAGTTCTATAGTCTTGGACGGCCACTAGTCTACCGCAGAAAGAAATGGCAACCTATTGCGGGAAAAAATCTGCCTCGTCAGTCATGTATCAAAAGATACATGATCGCCTAAGCTTGTATCCCGTATGGCGCATAACTGAAATGAACTTGATTTTTTTGGTTAATGGTTTGGTTTTGTATTAATTTGTGGTCTTGTGTGAAACTAGCCCCAGACTAATCTAGATTCAATTACTCTAATCCCTTGCTAAATTGATTAAAAGTGATCCCTACAGCGATGTAATTGAAGTCACTAGTATTTACTAACTATGCATTCTGAATTTTTGAAATGGATTCAGTGTACGTGCCATCATTGATTTCATTCCAATTCCAGATCATAGTTTCTGTTTTGAAGAGGTTTCTCTCTTATTTCTTGAGACACTTTTTGCAGTATGTTGATTTGTTTTGCAAGAACATTCTTATCTCAAATCTGAATACCTATATCATCTGCATAGCCCCTCTCATAAAAAAAAACAAAATAATTACTGTTTTACAGTAAGTGTAAAAATCACATGCTATTGCGAGATATTTATTGAAACTGTTGATGGTTATGTAGTGGTCATTAGTGGCAGTCTTTAAAACATAGTAACAGTAGCAGCCCTAAATAAATCTTGTATCAGTAGCAGCTCTGGAATATAAAAAAAAATACGTGAATTTAAAAGTAACTCTCACGCCTGGGTTTTCCTCTTTCGAACTGGTGACATGAACCTTTCAAGCTGAAGTTAAAAGGGCTGTGAACGCTTCACACTAAAATACACAAACACAGCAAGTCCCACTCGAATATATTCATGAATATTTCGTTGTGTATGCAATTTACTTCTAGGAAAAGAAATTCTTGCTTTAAACTTTCCTTTTGTTAATTTTTTTTTTTTTTTCAATATCATTCTTATCCCGAATCTGAATAACTATATCATCTGCATAGCTCCTGACAAAATTTTGCATGGCAAATCAATTGGTCTGTTATTTTGTGCACGTACCTCAAGGACACATGGCACAGTGGATAAAGGCGTTGGTTAGATCCTGTGACAGAACCCAAAGAGTGTGAGTTCAATACCCGGTTAAGGCAGTGGAGAACTTGGAGAGGAGAATTAACAGGAGATAACTGATAACTGATATCCATTAGACATGGCATGTGGAACTAGAACAGTCTACGCCAGTGAGCGAAATAAAGAGTTCAGTTCGATATTCCAACAACCTGAAGAAGGCCGGAACGTACAACGGCCGAAACGTTGTAATAAATATGGTGACAAAGATGACGACAATAATCCGAATAATGTAAATACTCATAATACATAATCCCTCATATGCATAATACCTCATCTCAGAAATATAGACAGATACTGAAAGGCCAAAACGTTGTGATAAATATAGCAACAAAGATGAGGACAATAGTCCGAATAATGTAAATAGTGTACATAATACCTCGTCTCAGAAATATAGACAGATGCTGAAAGGCCGAAACGTTGTGATAAATATGGCGACAAAGATGAGGACAATAGTCCGAATAATGTAAATAGTGTACATAATACCTCATCTCAGAAATATAGACAGATACTGTACACCTTTTTCCCCACTATTCATTCGTGTATTGTAAAATATTCACGTAAGAAACCTTACACATTTAATTATTATTTAGTCAATCACTAAACTTATTTCTACAACTTAGATGATTGGTTGATTGGCTTACCTTTCGTCCTTTTATTCTGTTATGCATACCTGCACTGTTCATGTTACACATCTTTTCAATTTCCGCGTACTTTTCATTGTGCCTACCTGCATTTGTCTTTAATTTCTGTGTTTAATATTCGATACTCTTTTCTATTCCTTGG